CTCTTGCAAACTATTGACCTCTGCCTCCTGAGTAGCTAATTCCTCCCTCTGTGGTAATCTTGTCACCCCTCTCAGCCATCTGTCCCCATTCCCACCACATTCCAGCCCTGAGGACCTCAGTCTCCTGCTTGCTGACAGGACAGTGACATCCTATCGCACACCTTAGATAGACCTGGTGTGGCCTCTGTCCTTGTCAGTTAATATGACATCCTCACTTCCTTCCAGACTGTCCTCAATGGCAGGACTTCCTGTCTCCCAGGCCGAGGGCCCCACCCCCACTGTCGCCCATAGAAGGATGTCCTCTGTCCTGGCTGTGCAGTGTCCCCTGTGTGTGCCTGGCCAGCCGTCCCCGTGTCACCACCCTACCCAGGGACTCACATGGGCTCCCCACTGTCAATGTAATCCCACAGCAACTCCTCCGACAGCTCGGAAAACTTCACTCTCGTTTCTTCATAGAACTCGGACACCTCCGTGTCCAGACGGCCATCTGAAAGGACAAAACCCAGGAGGTTGGGGGACCGGCCATGGCCACGGCCACCTCAGTACCATGACGTCTATATGGGCACTGGAGGAGCTCACATAACCTAGTGTGCAAATCTGTTACAATTTTTCATGGGGAAAAGGATCATTTTACGCGAGGGGACAACCAGAGGGAGAAGAGGAGAACCCATGTGAAGATGGCGGTAGAGACTGGAGTGATGGGGCCACAAGCCAAGGACACCTGGAGCCCCACGAGGTGGAAGAGCCCTGTCACACGTGAAGCCACCTGTCTGCAATACATGGGGACATTAGAGGGAAAAAAAGGAGGAAATGAAAGGTCTGGAGGCTCTCATTGCCTGGCAAGTGTTTTGTCCCCCAAAGGACACCAATGTGATAGGTAGATGGACGGGGTAAAGGTGGCCCAGACCTGGGTTACCTACCTCTTGTAAGCACAATACAGACAACACAGGAAATACCTCTAGTCCTTCTGTGACTTCAAAGTTCCTTAAAGGCTGAAAGTGGTGGCTCACACCTATAATCCCAGCTACTTAGGAGGCAGAGATCATGAAAATCTCCATCATGGAGGCTGGGAAGCTGAGAACCTTCAAGTCCCATGTCCCCAGCAACGGAAGACAAACTGCCAAGTTACCTTTCGTGCTGCAGTGCACAATGGCTACGCCCGTGAACACGCTGTGCTCCTTCCCACTCAATCTGCAAAAGACACCACCAGACGGCCACCACGTCACAGGGGGCCCCACCACGGGTTCTCCAAGGAAATCCTGATAGAGTGACCATTGTCACTCAACACACATCTCAGTGTTCACTGCTGACAGGGCAGGAGGGGGTCACAAGACCCCACAGGAAAGCATGACCCCAAATGTAGGCTCATCCCATCCAGGAGTGTGGGTTGTGCACTAAGGAAGGCTGAGGGAGGACAGGACCGAGTTCAAGAGCCAACCAGGTCTTTCTCTCTCATCGCTACCTTTCCTGGGGGTCTGGGGGTAGCAAAGCTGCAGCTCTGATGATGACATAAATGACAAGGACCTCAAACCCTTGCCCCCATCTCTAAACTGGTGCAGACCTGTGACCCAGTACTTCTAAAGTCCTTCAATGCCCACCTGGAAAGCATGCAATAGGCATGGTGCTTGTCCACCGGCTTCTCCAGAATCAGCCCCCCTACAGCCTGAGAGAGACATAGAGAGAGAGAGAGAGAGAGAGAGAGAGAGGGAGAGGGAGAGAGAGAGACAGCCGCAGTTGGAGTCAAGGTTTGTAGAATAATGCACTTAACACCAGGACTGCCCAATCATGTGGAAACCCTACACTGGCCTCTGAGAAACCTAACTCTCCTTTGGGAATGTCCTTAACCATTAACCAGGAATGACACTTTGTTCTCGCTGGCCTGAACTTCAGCTGCACAGAGCAAAGTGGACCTGAGGTCACCCTCCATGTGACCCTCAAGTATTTAAAAAA